TAATAATTAGTACTGACTGACAGAGCCCCTGGTGCTATTTCTGGGTTGGACTGGGCTGGATCCAATTACAGCATCCATATCTATAATAACAGGACTTGTAGCTGAGGGCAGGAAAAGATACCAGCCTTAAGGCTCCTATACAGGTCACGTTGTCTTTTCTCAGGCAGTACAGAAACAGGCCTACAGAAAGTGGGAATAGACAGTCCGCACAAAAAGAAAGCCCCTAGCGCACAGACCTTGGTACTCAGCATGTCCTGGAGGAGCTCTTAGGGCAATCAGCCTGCCTTAATGAGAGTCCCACCCACTAGGATACTTGAGGATAGAAATCATCTCATCTGTGCGGAACATGGAATTTGGGTTAATGAAAGGCCAGCAGGTGTGAAAGCACAAAACTGAGCCTCCCTGTAAGCCTGAGACTATTACCACAGAGCTGGCCCTCACTCGCAGCATTGGCATGAAGGAGGGGGATGTTTCTTGGGGGGCAAGGATTTACGTGCAGGGGCTCTTGCTCTTTCAGGTGCATGTTTGCCTACAAACTAGGCTTGCAGGATCTACCTCAGTCTGTTGCCTTCTTCAGCACCGTGGATATTGATCAGTGCTTAAGGAAGGAGGTGACGATGGACTGCAAAACCCCATCGAATCCAAGTGGGATGGAGAAGAGATACGGCATCTCGCCAGGTAGGTACCCCATGTAGCCTGCAGCCATGCGCTGGAAGCCACAGGCTCTGATTACAGAGCACCTGGGTCTGAGCAGCTAGCCCCCAGGCAGTAAGGGAGTGCTTTTTTTTGTGGTGCCTCTTCTAGCTGCACCATTCTGGAGGCCTCTTGGAAAAAGATGCCTTCCAGGCTAGGTGGGGCTATTGTTTATGAATCCAAAGTATGACACTGGCGCTGTCTGCAGCCTCAGCTCATGTGATGACAGCCACTCCAAGAGCTCTTTAGGCCTCTTGCACTCTCTTCCTCCCATTGACCCTTCTGGCTTAGCACAGTTGTTTAGAAAACTGCAAAGGCCCCAAGCTGAAGCCTTTCTCTTGCCACACTCAGACCCACCAATCCAGGGAAGTAGTAATTACTCTCAGCACTTGTCACAAACACCATATAATTAGTGCAAATGAGTGTTTGTGTTTAAACAGCCCCTAGGTCAGAGGTAACTGACAACTATTTCTTGAAACATGACACTGTTCCTGGCACTAAAAGACAAATAGCGTTGCTTGGATGGCTCTGGGACAAGGAGCAGGCAGGGGGAAACATGTATGGTTCAGCTATTGTCTGAAACACGCTACACAATTTCCTTTTAATGAACCTTTATTGGGGGAAAAAGCAAAGTGCATTCTTAAGGAAAAGACTTCAGCTGTAGTGGTAAGAAGGGGGATTCTCCCTCTGAACCGAGGAAAGTAAAATTGCCAAGTGCATGTCAGCAAGGTTGGCAGAAATACAACAGAACAGTGGCCAAGCCCGAGAAGTCCAACAGCTGTCTTGCTTTCACCCTTTTTATGTGATCCTAGCAGCTTTACACAGCTCAGCCTCCCAGCTCAGCACGGAGGGGAAGTTAATTTCCCACTCAGGCAGCTTCTGGGTTCTGTCCTTTACCCCAGGGCAGAGGTCTTGTATTCTGCAACAGAGGGCATTTTAGGGCTTCTGTACTAAATGCTGTAAATCAGGGGAAGGGGGGGCTGCTCTTTTCAAAACAAAGCCAAAGCAGAAAAGTGCCTAGGCTGGAAGGAATTAACAACATTCAACTCTCTTGCAGGTGAAGCTCTCGATATATATCAGCTTCTTGAAATAACCAGAGGCTCACTGGAGAAAAATAAATGAAACTGGGGACAGATAGTGGAGGCTCCAGCCAGCTGTCATATTTGCAGGGAGTACTGATGCTTGTGGTTTTCACAGGGCAGGTCTCCTGGCCCTGAGCCAGGCCACTTGACGCTTCTTTTCTGCTCTGATGTGAAGGACCAAGGCTGGGGAGGGGGCCCTGTAACAGCAGCACAGGTTAAGGGCAGAGACAAGCTTCTGGAGCGATTCCCAGTCTACCGAATGCCACCTGTTCTAAAATCCACCTTCCTTTGCCTGTGCAGCTGAGAGCCAACACAGCCCCCCAGAGGGGTCCTGAGCATAAGCTTGGAGTACCAGAGCAATCTTTGTGCCTACAACAGTCCAGTCAGTGCCAGCTGTGCTAAGTGAGAGTTCCTTGCCCAAGGAGGCCTATTTTTTTCGCTGTCTCTTCTTTTGGGGTTCCTGGTTCTCACTGGCTTGCTCAGCTGTACCAGTCTAAAAGAAGAGTAATAAAGTGAAGAATGGTTTTATTACTTTTGAGAACCCATGTCTGTTTACTGAACTTGAGCTCCTCTTTTTCCACAACTGATGCAGGACTCTGAACTGGAGTATTCTCACAGACAGCAGGGAACCTAGTGTCCCAAGGGTAGGACCTAACTGCTGAGACCAATTAGCCCTTCTAGCTGGAGTCTTAGTGGCTTTGTTTCATCCCCTTTATCACAACAGGGCTGCAGTACTTAAAGTCTCCCAAGAAGTGACCAGTGGAGCCCTACACCAATGCAGTCAGAGGGGCATAGGTTCCCTTCATGATGATTCAGAAGTACCACATTATTCTGCCTTCAGTACTGGGCAAAAGGGGAGCAAGCCTGGCATGGTCCATACCTGGGCTGAAGCACTAGAGCAGTGGCTGTGAACCAGAGGTACATGCAGGCAGGCGGGGACAGAGCGCCACTGCTGCCTCCCAGAAGCCAGGGTGGGAAAGGTTGCACATGGCAGCCCCAGCCACCACACACCAACCCAGTGAGCTTCCCCACCCTGCCCTGCTCCTGGGAGGCAGCAGCACTGTTCCCAGCCACATACTACCCCCACCCACCCTGTATTAGAGCACTTCCAAGACAGACTAAAAAAGGTTGAAAACCCATAAGTATCCTGGGGGTGGGGGTGTATAGCATGTGGACAGATACAGAGGTAGGGACTGTGTGCAGGGGGGTGGGGACAGCGCTGCCACTTCCCAGCAGGGCTGGGGTGTGGCAGCAGCAGCTGCCATGTGTGAGCTTCTCCACTCCACAGAGGGGTGCTGCTGCCCCGCTCCTAAGAGGCAGCAGTGCTCTATCCCCACCTGCTCGCACATACCCCCTAGGACTAGTCCAAGTACTCCCAGGGGTGCACATACCCCTGGTTGACAACCGTGTAGTAAAAGATGTCTCTCACTCCTGACCTGGCTTAATCTACATGGGCCAGAAAAGCTGTGCTAAACAGTACGTTTGTGAACTAGGAAGAGCCAGTGAAACAGAATGCTGACAAGCCTGTAGCCCACCACCCACAACATGAACAGTGGTAAGGGGGCAGAAGCCCACTTTCCTTGAAAGTGGGTTTTTCTCCTGCACTGCAAACCTAGAGATAGAAGTCCAGTGTTAACAGCTGGGCTTTCACTACGTTTTTACACAGAACATCCCAATTTGATTTCTAGTGTCAAGTCAAGGCAACTTATAAAGGCTCAGAAACAGCATGGGCTACAGCACTGGTCAGGCCCCTGCTTGTTTCTGATATTTTACTGCCTAAACAGCCAGATGACCCTAAGTTAGGGGCTGATACAGTGAAGACAGTGCTAGGGAAGCTGCACTTTGCACTGATGCAGCATGCCCCCAAGTTAAGCACTGTTCTCACTGTAAAGTAGAGAGGAGCTCCAGGCGCAGGCAGCCTCTCCCCCACAAGAGCTCTGACCTGGTTGGTGTCTGGCTCATTCTCAGCCTCCTCCGTGTTGTGCTCCTGCAGCGTGCTTTCCAATGTGGACGTGCTAATGCGAAAGTCCCTGGAGGTGCTCAGCTTCATGTACTGCATCAGGTTCACCTAGAAGCCATGGGGAAGGGGGCATTGCAAAGTCTGTGATGCAACCACACCTGTTCCTTTGTACTGCTTTGAAATGCCTGACCCTCCTGTAGCATTGGGACTGGGGCCTTGCTCACCTCTCTCACCACCAAAGCATAGGACTGGTGCAAAGTCTGGGTACAGCACGACGCTGCCACACACCACTTCCTTCATCAGTCTGTCCAGCATCCCCAGCCCCATTCTCCAATAGGCAAAGCCATCAACAGAACAAGGGTGTGGTATTGGGGATAGCAAGCCAAAGCCTTGCATTGCTGAATGCTGTGTGGCGCCCTGGATGAGCTGCTCTTGAAGGCACCAGGGACAGCCACGGCATGAACTCAACAAGGAAGTGCAAGGTGGCCAAGCTTTAGGCAAGTCTGCCCTTCTCCACCTGTGGCTGGAGTTTGGGAGAAGGTCCTCGTCATGGTTTATTCTCTCCAGGGATGGCTGACTTACATTTTAAAATCAGTGTCACTATCCAGTAGCAAGTGGAGGGATAACAGTACTCACTGAGCATTAATGCTGCTGCCCCCTGCCCTCTGATCACAGCAGAGCTGATTGATTACCTTTGCCTTCTTAGAGAGATGGATAAGAAACTTCTCATACTGCTCGATGGCAAAGATGAGGTTTGGGATTGGCTTGCTTTCCCGAAGCACCTTGGCCTGCAGGGAGAAATGGGAGGGCCTGGAAGTGAGCCTCACAGTAAGCATCATACAGTATCAAACACCCAGGGCATCAATACCCCAGTGCACATGTTTGTAGAGTCCTCAGACTACCATCTGGCTCCAAAGACCAGGGCAGAAGAGATTTTAAACTTCACTTAAGCATAAGCCATTGGCACTTGTAGCAAATACATTCCAAAGACCTTGGTTTTCCCTGCCCAGGGCACGCTTAGACCGTGGGCAGTGCTTCACCAGTGCCCTGGCTGCCCAGCACTGGTTATAAGCTTTCTGGCCCAGAAGCCATTTGGGAGCTGCCTCTGCCTGCTCATGACCTGCTGGAGAGGCAGCTCTGGCAGCTGTGCCATGCCGGGAGCCCATGCAGCACCCTCCTGTCAGAAACACACTCCCAAGCTTCTTGGTGCATTCCTGCCTAGGTTGGTTTGTCTGTGCCTCTGCTCCCTGGTCCTCATCAAGGAGGCAGCATCCCACTCTAGGAGCATCTCCCTTTCTTGGCAGTGCTTCTGGACATTCAGGTTCAGCAAGGAAGGCTTCTGTCCTCTATCCTGCCGGCTTTTAGCCATCGCAGTATTTGCTCACCTAATGTTGTGGGAGGGTCTGATGCTGTGACGGCTGAGAGCACAAGTCACTAAGGGCCCTGTGGGGCCAGGACTTTTTAGCAGCTTTACACCAATGTAACTAACACTCCAGCTCCCTCCCACTTTCCCACATGGTGGGTTTTAATTGAATCAAGTGTCCTACCCTTCTCAACTTACTAACAAATGTAAAAACACTTCAACAGCCTAAAGAGCGAGTTCTAGCATGCTAGCAGTTTTCTGTTCAGTATCAGCTTCTCCAAGTGATCAAAGATCAGTTCGGTACCAAGACAGAACCCACATTTGGTTGCTATTGGCTTCAGTCCTTGTGTTTATAGGATGCAGTAGGGTCACTTCTCTCCAGTGAGGAGGGCTGGAAACTTTATTTTTACTTCAGTGAAAGCTGAGGTCTTGGTGCATTTACCCCCCATAAGGAAGCTGGACTGTAAGATGCCATCAGATATCACAAGTTTTCGGAGACCACCACAAGAACTGACCGCGCTGCTGTTCCAACCACAGCCAAGGCAACCCTAACAGAGCATAATGCAGCCTCACCATGACTGTGGCAACTACAGCACTTTCATCCTCTCTCTTCTTCTTCTTCTTCTCTTCTGCAAAGCTTAGGCTTTCGCTATGGATGTTCTGAAGGGAGAAATGCAAAGACCCAGCATCACAGGGCTGGCAAGAACAGATCATAGCCAACCGAGAGCAGAGGAGTCTTCCCTCTCTCCAGCTGGCTGTCAGCTCCCTGAGTGACAGATGGGCTTTGATTCAGGAATAAGAATCCTAGGATTGCCAAAACCATAAGGTTGCAGAAAGACACTTCCCTTTTAATTCTGATGGCTTCAGAAACTTACAAAAACAGGCCATTAGCACCAAGTAAGCTTCCCACCCCTACAACTCTACCAGTGCATCCTAAGCCTGATATATATATAGTCCTCCTACCTGTACGTAGGTGATGAAGGAGTAACACTGTGGAGTCAAATGGGAACCTGAGAGCTTCACCTGGGCAGGAGCAGAGATGTTGAGGTTACTGCACGTACTGTGAGTACGCTCTTCCCCCAACAACCCCAAGAGGCTGACACTCACCAACTTCTCTAGCCTCCCTGGAATCGTGCCTGGGGCACTGCGGCAAACTTGGAGATACTGTAAAGAAGTCACAAGAGTGAGTCTCTCCCAGACACTCCCCCTCATCCTCCTCACCCTCTCATTCCAGGTGAGGGCAGTTTGAGCATTGGGAGGGGGAATTTAGGTGAAAGCAGCCTGAAGGGGCTAGCCAAAAGCAGCACAAGGCAGCAGGAAGAAGGCTTCCCTTCACCTCTGCCACTTCCACTACTGTCATCACCTAGCGACCTGAGAGCTGCTGGACAGGCCAGCTACCAGAGAAGGGTGGGAACTCTCAGGTGGTGAGTGGATCATGCTGACAGTCCCAGTCCCCAGAGGAGCCTCTGTCAGCTGCCAGGAGTCCTTGTGAACTTGTGGGGGACAAGGAAATGGATTTACACGCTTCCCACTCCCCCAGTCCAGAGCAGGAGCACTCACGTGTTTGACAAGGGAGGTGAGGATAGTGTAGGTCTTGTTGAGGCTTCTCAGCAGAGTGTCCACACAGCTCCCTGCAGGGAGGGCTGTCTGCACCAGCTCGTGATAAGCAGTCAGCAGTGTCCCCAGCTGCAGGATTATGGCCTTCTCCAGGGACTGGATCTGGTTTGATGTCTGAGAAGAGTCTTCTAAAGAGAGAAACTGGCACCTAAGCACACACCAGCACTCCCACAGACAACAGGAAAACCAAATGGGTGCAAACATTGTTATAAATGGACTTAAGAGTCCCCTTCTCTGAACTAAAGTGCAATATGGCCTAGGCAGCAAGTGCACAGTAACTCTTCTGCCATCCCATAGTGCACATGTTCAGTCCCTCCCTCCTTTTCCCCCCCCACCCAGAATCCCCATCTGCCTGCCATGCCAGTTGTACCAGAGGCACCCTGCCACTTCAGTGCCAGCAGTGTGTGCCCCCCACCCCCTGGGGGGGGCAGCACTGGCAGCCCATGGCCCCCTGCTCCCTGCCACATGGACAGCGTTGGTGGTCTGCACTTTGTGCCCCCCTCCTGCCACACAGCAGTG